AATATAAATGCTTGAAAATCATCATGGAAAGTGCTCTTGGGCAGCAAGAAAACCCATCAAGAACTGGTAAAGAAAAGAACAGCTATTTATTCGTTTACTGAAAGCTATTGTGGCCTGGTTCTTTGCCCACAGTCAGGTCACAACAAGCAAGGGAAACTGCCCTAGAGTGGTCAGGAAATTTCTGACTCAGTCGTTGCAACCTCCTCTACCACCTGCCCATCACCCAAACTCTGCCCAAAGGATCTAGATTTAAACTCTCTGGAGTTTCTCAAAGCTCTTCTCCCATCCATAGTGCTGCTCTCATCTCCTCAGGACAGCAAGAAAGCTTTTCTCATCAGGTGTTGCTGGAGGTGGTGTCCTAGATAACTCTTGGCTAGTCCGAATATACAAGTGTTGCACTCGAATTCAGCAGCTGCTAATGGCCTGACAAATGAAAAAAATAGAAAAGTTTTTGCTTCAAGCGTGTCAACAGTTCCTTGGCAAACCTGAAGCTAACAAATTTGCTCAAGAAGCTGTATGCACTGAATAGTGTTTATAAATGGCCATTGTTAGGATGCAGTTTCACAAACAGCTTCCATCTCTACCAATGTAATGCTCCTGAAAGGGTCATCACTTGCATCACTGATGGCACAGCTCGCAGCTGCAAATACAGATCAACCTGTAAAATTCATCTGTGAAGGGCACAAGCAGGATGATGCAGCTGTAGCACAGAGGTAAGAGCTGGACTGTCCCTTTCCGCACCAGCAGTCTTAGATCAGCGTAAGCCTAAGAAAAAATACACCAGCGCTACGACCATCACAGGGCAGCAGAACTGGTATTCGGCTGCTGACGCTTTTCTCAAGCCCTGGAAAAAGACAAACATCATGCTGACAGCTGCTCCCTTCCAGTTTAACTCCCTATTAATTATCAAAGGTGAAGCTAATTAAATCTCTCCTAAAAGGCTGCTCAGACAACTGCGATAACTATTTCAGGCTAGGATGTGTGAGAGTTTATGTAATTCTGTGGGCCCACAGAGCTGCTGCAACGTTCACAGGATCAATTCTAGCACTGGTTTTCCACAAAATCCTGATCCATCACACCAGAGAGGCACAATTTAGATTAATGAGGCAGAAGAGGTCGACCACAGTCCTGCTACATGAAACCTTAATTTGCACATCTGTGGCGACTGGGTGGACAGAGATGAGAAGATGAGACAGCATGAGAATTCACGATGGGAGAGTCTGCAGGATACTGATTTCTGCAGAAGTTGACTTCTGTCTCTAGCTTAAATGGAAATCAGACCTGAAGAGAAGCTTTGAGAACAGAGGTAAATGGCTGAATGATGCATCCAGAAGGAATCTTTATATGGTATGATGTGAGCCAGGAAAACGACAGGAGAAAAGAGAAGCCTGGTCCTAAGTCCATTCCCAAAGATAATTCTTTTAACATCTGGGAAAGGGTTGGTCAGCTACCCTTTCATCTCACTGCAGCTGGTCACCTTGCACCTTGGAAGAGTCAAAAGCAATGGGATCCAGGATTTCGGGGAAAAGCCCGGGTTCCTTCGTATCTATGTGGTGAAAAGATAAGCCAAAAAGATTTGGTTACCTTTCCTTCCTTTTCACAAAGCACATCCCATGAAAGAAGAGTATCACACGCTCTTTTTTTCCTGAAGGCAATATGATGAGACTTGACCTTGCTGGTTCCTACCACAGCAATTTATCTCTTTTCCACAAGTTCTGGAAGGACATGCAAGTACAGTGCTCTACAGGCATCTCACTGAGGCAGATCCAGTGGTACGAAAGAGTGCCTGCATCTACAACATCAGTGGTTAGAGAGAGGTACCTCGCCTAGTTTCTTTATCATCATCACTTAATATTTGTTGGTAGGCCTAGAAATTAATAACCAGTAAAAGCCTGGACAATGGACAGGAAGTGAGAAGATATTTGTTTGAAGAGACATGGGTATTTTGCCACTAAACCAAATCTTTCATTATACTTACAAAGCACCCAGTTCTTCTCAGAGCTCAGCACTTGTTAATGTAGATGATTCTATTTAAAATAGTAACTCTCATTTCATTTGAGCAGGTTTCCACAGAGAGCATAGTCTTCAGTTTGCAATGAGAACATTTATCATATTCTCTTCTCCCTCATGTTGTGACAAGCACAGCCCACGCACATTTTGCAGACTCATTTGTCTCCATAACCATCTCTTCCTCTAGAGTTACAAGTCACTGCTGGGGATTCACTGCTGTGCTGACAGTGCTGTGGTGCTACTGCTGCTACAACCACTCAGGTACCATAAAGATCATGAAGGACTTGGTTGCTCCTGTGTTCTGCTCTAAACATCATCTTATTCCCATCTCCCCTTTGGAAGAAGAAGGTTCTGCCTTCTTCTGCCTTAGGCAGTGCTTTCCTATCTCTTCCCATGATTCACTGGAAAGTACATTTTCCAGTAAGTCAGACACTTCTTGGATCTATCACATGCAGACCATGTGGTACATGCAAATGCACACTAGATAAGTCAAGAGCTACCACATCTGCATGATTCAGCTAATCCATCTGTGCCCAGTGAACATGTCTTGGTTTCTGGACCTACCACAGACCTGCTGGTGCATCATAGCTGAGGCCAGTCTTAGGTCTTGACAAAATATGTCTAGGTAAATTTTCTGTATAGTATAACACTGTACGTCCAGTGGACCAAGAAGTCTGCCAGTTTTCCTCCAGTAGCTTACCCAGCTCTAGCGTGCTAAAGGAATGGGCTGTCACAGCTCCCACTTTGATCTGAGGGCTGGGGAGAGATTTCTTCAGTCCCTTTTGGGAGGGGAGAGGGATTGTTGACATCTACAGGGCAAGTGCAAGATTTATTCTCAGGCCTCAAAAGATGCTCAAGCCTCCATGCCAAAGAGATTGCAAGGTTCAACTCACGTTGAAGATTTCTTCTCACCACAGAGGGTCATTGCATGGCAAAGAGACCATGGCACTGCCCTGCAAGAACATGTAACACCAGTCTGGTGGCAAGGGAAGGTGGGAGATGTCTCTACATTAGACCTGACAGTCCTGTTAAGGCTTCCAGCTAAGGAGAAAATTAAGTGCACTGTTTGTTACCTCTTTAGAAAGTTCAGCTACAGCATTTCAGATGAATGCAAAGAATTTACATATAGGTGAGGTGAAACACTGTACTAGGTTAAAACAGCACGGTCTCTACTCTTCCCCCCTTTCACAGCTTCTCCTTTACTCCTAGTCGCCTTGCAATTCAGTTCACCAGCTCCCTATGATGTGCAGATAACACTGTGAACTAGGTTTACTAGGGGGATTTCAGAGCGTGTTAGGCACTTGAACAGGTCAACAGATTCTGACCTATCTGCCTATACCTTCTGCACAGCCAGAAGTTGCCTCTGGATTCCCACAGCAACTTTCCCATTGGACCGCTGGCATGATTTTCTGCCTCATTATGTGTATTCATTTCCAGTTGGATCTTGATGACCTGTCAACTACTGAAACCACTGGGACAATTCAAGAACAAATGAAAACTACTGGAATTTAAAAGAAATTGAATCTTTTCCCATGAGTTTCCATTACCATCTGAGTGTGCTACTAACACTGACGACCCCAAACTCATCTAAAAGCATGGTCTATTGGTCTCGGAGCAGATTTCAGAGACCCTTCTCTGCCACAGAGGAAGAGAAAACATATAATCTAAAGGACAGTAACAGGACAGATGGAGAAGCTCTCTCCACTAGTGGATAATAACGCAAGGACTGCACTGAAACAGGCACTTCTCTTCTAGCCATATGAACAATCTGGATCAAGCACTATATGCTGTGATTGCTAGCAGAGAAGAAAGCAAACACAAAAATATTGCAAGCACATACGTGTTTGCTCCCAATATACCACAGCACTAAATCAGGTTGTGTCCTGTCTCATCAGCTTCTATAAACATCAGGTGGGCCATCAGGATGTAATGTGAGATGGCACTCAACCCAATTTAACCTCTGTTTAAATTAAGTTAGGTATTACTGCTGGGATAGCTAGCACTTTTGCATGCGTAGAAAGCAACAGCTGCAAAACTACCTGCTTCAGGAGAGCTTTGAAACCACAGACAGATTCTCTCTCCTGGGTTTAGTACATGCTGCAGAAATTAAACATACTAACAGGAGATGGCTGGCAAGAATTAGCACTGGAAGCAGGTTGGCCTCATCATTCAGATGCCAGCCTGAGATCCAGAAGGCATGAATTTGACTCTTTACTGCACCACGGGTTCCCTGGTGATGCTGGTCTCTCTGGGCATTGGCTCTCTGCTTGATTTCTTGAGCATTATCAGTGCAGGTAAACTAGCCTTCTGGGAGAGATGTCAGGAACAGAACACATTAAGTGATGATATGTTCCAGCACCACACTAACAAGGGGGCAGGTAAGTCTAAGAACAAGTACATTATTCCTTCCTGTAACTGTGAGCTCCAGCCCTCCTTTCCATTAGATTAAAAATTAAATTCAAGGTGATTATTGAGAGTCCTTTAAAGCTGTGGAGGCGTGCACAGGATTCCTCCTGAAGTGGGTATGGAGGTCTGTGAGCCACCAGCAGAAAATCATTCCTCTTGTGGCAAGACGCAAGAGCCCCTGATTTCAGGTCACTGAAGCTGAAATCCGCTTTGTTTCTGGGCTTTGTTTCTCACTTTTCACAATGGAGGTCAGTTCTCACCCCTTGTGGATTGTTTGCAGAAAACAGAAGTGTCATGTTGGAAAACAGGGACTAGACGGCATGCCTTGGGCCTTCAAGACACCTCCTTTGGAGTCACAGAATAACACCTTGCACCCTACCTTTCTCAAAGGGTCTTCTTGATTTCCTTTTTAATGTGTTTAATTTCCAAGCTCCATGACTTACCTTACTTTTTACTTGTAAGTACAAGTATTGATTCACAGCATTCAAAACATTTAAGCTTTGCCCTCAAATATGTATCTCTTTTGAGGTCTCAATAATTCCTCAGATCACCTTCATCCTACAACACAGATTTGAGATATGTACCTCAGCAGTTCTTCAGTGTCCTCCTCAGCACCTGTGTTCAGCACATACCCTCCGCTCTTGCAGGCAGCTGGCAGCAGTAGTGAGTCACCCAATCTGACAACCCCTCCAAGGTCTGGATCTTCAAATAATTTCAGATCTAGAAAGCAGAACCAGAAAGCACTGTAGTTAAATCATGCTACCTAACACAACACCTGCATTAACACTAGCTAGTAAATCTGGCTAGAGGGCTGAAAAAAAAGATCATATAGACAATTCTTTTTTTACAAAGACTTTCAGTTCACAAAGTGCAGTGATACTCTGTACTCTCAGGACCTGGTAAATCTGCTTTATTCTTGCACTCAAAAGTAGGTCACATCACTCTTGTTAGTGTGGTATGAGTGACTGTGGGACAGCCAGCTCCCACAGACCTGTAATATCCAAGCCCAGAATGTCAACAGTGAACAGCTAGGGAAACTACAGGTCTTATTTATTCTTTCTGAGTGATTCTAGATGATTCTGCCCCAGCTGAAGATTCGCTTTAACATTCCTGAGTTGTCATTTAGCCTGTATACTCTGTATCAATACATTTTAAAAGTTCAGTTTTACACGTTTTAGATTAAAAAAAAAAAGTGTATATACAAATATAGAATAGATTTACTCTCTTTCATCTTCTTCCTGGGACCAATTGATGAGAAATCTTCTTCTGGGCCAAAGAGTCCTTCATCTGCATCTATTTCCTCCTCAAAAATGGTTAATTTGGGCTTCTCTTCCTTGGTTGCAGGAACAGATGCCTTCTTTGTTTTTTTAGTTCTAAAAACACAAGAGACAAGAAAGTCAGCTGCAATTCTTCATTTAACAAGAAAGATTTATGGCTAGAAAGTCTCATAAGCTAAAAATAGATGGAGGCTGGTAAAGGATTAGAGAAAGGTACATAGGCATCTTTTAGCTGCTGGCAGGAACAAGATATTGAGCTGGAGCGACTCTTGGTCTGACATACTCTACTTGTACTCATGTTTTTGTTCTTAAGAACTATCTAGGAACCCAACAGAAACTTGAAGCGCAGGGCTAACAATGCTGTACTGTGCAAACTATCACCGGATCTCGTTCGTTTTAAGCAGTCTTACTCCTCCCACACAGAAAGCTTAAAATAAGAAAGAAGAGCAGTTCCAGCAACGCTGTCAGAGACAGACAGAAAAGGGATGGCTTGAAAAACAAAGTGCAGGTTGGACCATTGCACTGATCCCTTTGGACTGCTTTTAAAAAATCTCTTTGGCTCCATCTCCTTGCCAGTGCCTGCTGCTGTTTTTGACTGCTGCATGCTCCTTTCATAAAGGTGTTAGACACTCCCTGCATCCTCCCCAGAGAAGACATGATATGAAGACTACACTGTCTTTAAGCTGAAGCAAACAGAGACTGGAAGATACTTGGTTAGACAGACTGCTATTTGCAGAATTTACAAACGTCATTCAGTACTTTCTCGAACCAAGGACAGGATTAACTTACTCTAAATTTAGTCTTCTAAAAATTTGACAGTGAGACAAAGTTAATTTTTAGGCTTCTTCTCAACTCAGTGGAAAGAGACAGACATCTCCATAGGACAATTAATCTCATCTATTTTGAACACTGATATTTGGATGCAATAAATCTCTGAAGATCTCCTCCTCTGCCCCTGGCTGGAGAAGGAAGCTAAAAACTAGTTGGGATTAGAGGCCTCATTTGCACATGGCTTAAACAAGGAGAGATGAATCCTCTTCCAAGGACAGAGTGAAAAGCGTGTGCCTAGGAGTCATGTCGCATGAGCTGAAGCTACAAGGCAGCTTTCATGGTAGGGAAGTTTAAGTTATGAGGCAAACCAAATGGCACAAAAAAGAGAATTTAGAGAACAGGATAAAAATCTTTGGATGAAAAGTCCAATTCAAACTAAGCTGAAAGATAAGCCTTTCTTAGGACAGCATGTCCTTCCTAAGAAGTTGCCATATTTCAGAGATCTTTACTCTTAGCAGTCATGGCCTTGCAATTTCTAAGGTAGTCCCTTTGAGTGCCTCTTACAATAGAAGATCTGATCTTCTCCTTTGCAGCGAGCAGGTGAGGTTTCAGCCCAGAGCAAACCCAATTATCAGCACTTAACATGCCACAGTCATCAAAAACTAAGAACTAAGGTCAAAAGATTACACATGCATTCCAACTACATAAAGAATCTTGTAAAATCCTCTTCC